CAGCGGAGTATATGATATACTTGGCCTTGGAGCCTATTTAAAGGCTATAAATCCTTTTTTGTCAGTCCGGGTCAAATTCGATCCGATTTATTCTCTTTTTAAGCATGCTTAACTGTACCCTATAAACCACAGTTTTATAATACGTCAAATCTTAGAGAAGATCTTTGACAAACAGATCGAAATCCAACAACTTTGACCGACATTGGTGCCTTATCGGGTGACTTGGTTCACGCTGCCTACCTAATTCAAGTATTTACAGAGCAGCATGTAAGTGTTTTTTTGTTTGTGTAGATTTCAAAGTTGTTTTCGATAATACTAAGATGAGCTGTCTATTCAACGCCAGCCATAATTGGTATCCCCGCGAGACTCATACAGTTAAGCAGAATTGAACACACCACAAAGACGGTCMATGCCAGATGAGATTTGAGGCACTGTGATTTTCTCTCTTGTGGCTATTCTTCAATATAATGCGGGAGTGACTCTCGCCGCTAATCTGAATCGTATTGGCGCTGTCTACTCCAAAAAGATAAGATCATTGGGGTACACAGATGATATTGATATTTTAGACTTTAGCGATAGAGCGCAGCCTTTCCAAGCCTCAAAAAAAGAAAAAACAAAAGAGGTTGATCGTGTGTTGAACGAGACAAATTTTGGGAATCACGTCACTGTTGAAGGGGTGAATTCCACTAACAATCTAAGGTTGGAKATCAAGCGCAAAAATACTCTTGCCAAAAAGTGCCACTTTGGGATCGGTAGTCAATTGAGAATCAGATCGCTCTCTCGAAGAACAAAAATTACAATCTATAATCATCACGCCCTCCCTATTATACGGCGCAGAAACATAGACGATGATAAAACGAGATGAGAAAGCACTTGGAGTATTCAAGAGAACTGTTCCTGCCTTTGGTCTTTGGAATCATCATGATTTGGCGAAATAAATATAATTAACTGCTTAAAAATACAACAAATAAGCTGAAAGATGATGCTCCACACACTCAATGGTAGGATCAAGTGCTTAGCGACCATAAACGAGTTTTTAGAATATGGCAAAGATACTCAGAGACTATCGTACATATTTAATTGATATTTYAGCTGAAGTATCACAACTAYTTTCCAAAAAATGTATTGCTATTTTCGGTCTAAAATTCAACCTCGTTTTAAGTTGCTTMAAATAAAAATGAAAGCCTGAGAGCGTAAACAAATTAGTACGTATTTCGACTTATCGTTATCTTACTAGAGTTAAGATCCCTTCTTTCATTTATACGAGTTACTAAAATCATGGACACCGTTGAGGTAATTCTGAAGATTTGTTTAGTACCCACCCTTTTGTAGCAAATATACATGTTTCATAAGACCTAGAAGAAGGATATTAGCTTCCCTTTTCCTTATTCCCAGAATAAACGGTCAAAGTTGGACCTTTTTAAGACTCTAGAGTGGTCTAATTTTCTAAGTAGCTTATGGAGTCAAAACAACGATATTTCTTGGGAGGTCTCAAATTTCTCGCAGAAAAATAGATATTATAAAATGTTGGCTGGAAAATTATATTGTATTTGACAAAACGATATATTTTTTGACTTTGCTCATTATTCGAATACTTAATGAATGAAAAATAATTTTTATTGTCAGAAATCAACTCTGTAAATGTAAGAAAATTTCATGCAACAGGTCGCTTTCATAATAGAATAAACACATCACCACTTGCTTACGCATCACATGTCGCTGTTTACATCTTYTTCTAAAACTTTTGGGTAATCCACTTTGATTGAAGGGTTTCAAATCGCATTAAYAGTAACTAAATTAAAGGATTTATTCCAGTGTTCTGAATAAAAAGAAAAAAAACATTGAAATCAATCGGCGTGTAAATAGAAGCTTCCTGAGAAATTAATAAAAAAAAAGAAAATTCAATGATAAAATAGAAGTTTTCAAGGTCTTGTCAAGCAAGTACTTAGTTACCACAGATGTACGCAAAGGGATTAAAAACGAAAAAATACGAATATAAATAAACCTATACTCAACACAACGCCAACTAAGATTGAAATAATAAAATCAAAATATTGCAGGCAACTGATCTTCTTGCGGCGACAGCTTAAATCACTTAAATCGTTTGATTGGCGCAATAAAGACATAAACTACCTAAAAATAAAAGATTGAGATCGGCATAAATGTCTAATGGCGATCACCCACACTGGCGTCTCTTGACAGTTTATTGTCTACTGTCGCGCTGTTGTTGGTACTGTCGGCGGCAGCTAGTGGACAAATTGCAGTGGACAATTTGAAATGTTCATATATATCTATGTTTGGTGGTATGATTGTATGTGTGCTATGGGTATAAACGATGCTTTGATAATATTTTAATCACTGCGGCATTTTGATTGATTAAGAAAACTATGTCATAGACTTAATATATATGGGCCATAGGCTTAAGTTTGTTGTCGCAACACAGATGAAAAACACATAAATGAAAATTAGCAGGGCTTGCKTTCATTTTCGGAACTATGAGGTTGAGCAAATATGAGTAATAAGCGAAAATACATAAATAAAATGTTATGCAGTGATTAGTTAAGCTAGAAATAAAAGGAAGTTTCTTTTTAATGAGAATTCACTTTGTAAAAAAGTATAAATAATTTTATTAAAGGTTTCATCTATCGAGCTTACGATCTATATTCCCAACCATAAATTATTAAGGAGTTTAAGGATGAATTTTTATACATCAATCCCTTTCATCTGTATATACTCTACCGAAGTTCAATATTTATATTTATTTATGGGAAAATGAAGAGGACTGTAGATAGGCTCGGTTAAACTGTTAGGCAATAAACCACGCATAGACCAGTTTTGGTCCYTTGCGATACCAAATGTAGTTCAGGCCCTAAGTTCAGGAGAAGTAGTCCTCCTTTAAGATGCCTGGACTTGACGTGAATTTTAACAGATTCTGCGGCCGCACTATCGATACCTCCTCCAGTGTATCATACCGTGGCGACCCCAAGCAAATGAACAAGAGATCCAATGTTTCCCTGGTGTCCCGCTCTAAACATCTGCTGCAGTCTTCTCAATATTTATTAAGTTTTCGGATGTTACCCGCATACTATTCTTGGCAATCTAGTCCATTATTTCGTTGTCCTCGATGCCTTTGTGATCTGACACCCAGTAGAGCTGAAGTTGCTTACTTCTGGCAATATTTTCCACTGCCCTTCTTCCCAAGACTCTTCTGGCCGATATGCGGTACGAGGTTACTGCCTTGATTGCTACTTGGCTGTCTAGAGGCCAGCTCCGCTGCTTTCGCCAAAGAAAATACCTCAGCTTGAAATATACTGCAGTACTGCAGCAACTTGCAAAGGTTATATGGATCAAAGGTCTTAAATCAGTGCCTACAGACTGCCGTTAAGTCTAGCGTAAAGTGCTCGGGAGTTTCCGGCTTCTTGTCTCATATCCGGCATTTTGCATAAGAGACTATACTCTTATGAAATCCCGGAAGAGGTTCATTGCGAACGACGAACAGCTCGTCTATGCACTAATGCACCATTGGCGGTGTAGTATCGCAGGCTGAGTTCGCTTTAAGTGCCACTTGACTATCGCTGAGCATGGCAATACTTTCATTGCGATAGCTGAGTTGGCGGTAAATTTCTACACACCGACTTATAGCTAAGATTTCTCCGACGATTTGAGCCGTCAGTGTATTCCATTTAGTATTAATGCCGAGGCTATTTTTAAAATTATTTGTGAAGTTAATGATATTAGTATTTCATCACTTAAGGCCATCACTTCTTAGGACGAGATTACCTTCCCTATGTCATACCCTACAGCTGTCATTTGAAGCAGTGTATGTTTAGTATTTTGATTCATTACTAGGTAGTGCGATGTGAGTTACAGCATGACTTCTAGCGCTGCCAGTCATTACGCCTTATAGGAGCACTGGCACATAAGTGCAGTAAAAATTTGTACCGTTCAACTTTCACCTCAACGAAAAACGAACTCACATTTTGATTCTTTCATATAGATTTTAAGTAGTTTTAAGAAGATTTTAAGCAAATAAAATAATTTAAGAATATATTGATTAGTCTCAATGGAGAACAATAACCCCTGTCACTATTAATGTATTTAAAAAATTTGCTGATTTGAAATATTTCACCTATTAAAATTCGAAACTATATGGACTGATGGCACTTTAAAATTTGTGTAGATAGATGGATGTCAGGTTTAAGTATGTGCGTTCTACGCCCTTTGGTGGAGGTTTGCCACTGTTGCTGCCACATAATTATGATCTTCTTTCTCTCCTCTGTTGTTTTTTTGATTTCTGTAATTGGCACTGATAGCTCATATAATCTCGTGAATTCGTCTCCCTGGATTCTGCTGGATATAGGTCGGAAAGCACTTGTTACTCTTATTGCTGTGACTCTATGCACCGCATTTATTGGTCTGGCATACAGCGCAACATTTTTTTGTACTCGTACTAGCTTTCCATGTTTTGCCATTTATTGCATATTTTGTAATGTGGAGAGTGGAACTCGGATAGTTCAAAATGAGCGATTAATCGAATACTCGACAACTTATGACTATCCGGATACTGCAAACCGAATATTATTAATCGAATGATTACTTATCCGATTAGTCGATTAGTTAAATACTAGGAACTCTCATCTATATATATTAATGATCAGCGTGACGATCTGAGTCGACTGTCTGTATATACTCGAACTGCTACTTTAGTGTTTAAGATATCGATCCGAAATTTTGCGCACATAATTTTCTTCCCAAGAAACTGTTAATTTTTTGGAATCGTCGATATCGGACCACTATAGTATAGCGCTGTCCTAGAATTAGATCGATAAAAATCAATTTCTTGCCTGAACAAATTTTTAGCCGAGTTATCTTCACAAATTTTGGGGTGGCTTATTGTTCAAGAATATGCTATAATCTCTACATATTTTCCTATCTAAGCCCTATAGCTTAAAAAAAATATAATGTAATCTTAAATCTTCGTTGTTTTTATTATTTAATAGGTTAAAGCTGATTTTTTAGAAATTATTGCGTGCTGTATCCAACATCCAACCATGAACTGGCTGTATCTACTCACAATAGCAGCCTTTTTGGCTGTAGGCAGTGTGAATTCGCTATCACTTGATCCAGGTTTGTCAAGCACGTATAACCTAATAAAGCTTATTTTCAAAAATAACTTATTTTAGTGGCCTCCACCGAACTGGAGCAGCACATAAAGAAGGGTGATTGTGTCATATCAATGCGACACATACGGTAGGTATGCGCTGAAGAGCGAAGCCATTGCAAGTACGCCAAATAAATTTAACATTTTTTTCGCATTTCATTGCAGGCCGCGTCGCAAACTACACATATCCATAGAAGCACTTTTTATGATCGATTTCCCTACACTGAAACATAAATTATCCTTTTTCCTCGATCGCATGAATCAACGTGTCACCTTGGATGTAACGGCCAACGGTGCCACTGTGTCGAAACACTTCGAATTGCCCAATACGAATGAGACCAGCACAATACGCTCGCTAGCATTGCATTTCCATAAGAATCGCATTGCAATGTTGGTGGATTGCAAGGAGAGTTCGACGCATGAATTAGATGTCAGTTTGACCGAGCTCTATGCACAAATGGATACCGATCCGGTTATAAAACTGGTGAGTGAGGGTTTAGTTTTATATTTAAGAGTGTGAGAGAGAGAGAGGGAGAGCGAGGTGTTGAGGAATGAGGCTTGAGGAATACAGCAAATTTAAATTTATTTATCATTTTCTACTTGACAGTTCAGGGAACGCAAATATCCACTGTACTTTGACGGGCAACTCGAGCCGGCGCTGCAACGCACCAATTGCCAAAAGGGCGTGCATAAGCGCAACAAAGTGCACATGATGCGTACGCAGGTGGCGGGTAGGTGTAACACATTTCAATTGTCATTTATTTACATGTGTATTTTATTTGGTTTGCCTGCAATGCGCATGCGTCTGCCACTTACTTTGGGGGCAATTTTTTATTGTACTGATTTGCATTAGTTCATCGATCACTTTCCTTTATGATTTGTATGCCACACAGAGAAGAACAAGAAACGCGATGTACGCAATTGGTTCAGCAACGACTCGAACGATAAACATCACGAGGAGGAGCGCATTCCGGTTGAGGTTGAGCAACGCGGTGACATACCCATCATGCATGGCGATTGTGAAGGTATGTATATATGGTATATTACTTACGAGTTTGAACTAATATACATATGTTTTGAAATGTATGTACATATGTGTAGAGCCTGAACTGATAGGCAACCTTCCAATACTTTCTGTATGTCCAATTTCAAACTAATTCAGATCTATGCAAGTCCTCATTTGTGTGCAATAAAGTTTTTGTAGTAACAACTGAAAATCCCAGTAGGAATTTGAACTCAACAGCCAACCGATAATACTTAAATCAGCTGTGAAAGTGTAAGCTATATTTTAGAGAAGTTGTTATTGTGACACAATACACCATCAGTTGATTACTTAAGTTCATATACATACATATAAACATAGGCCATTTCCGAGTAGGATCTTCATATCCGCATAAAACAGCCTCATCATATTCCGATTGTGTCATTCGTTTCAGAAATATGAGCATTCGGACTAGCCTTGAAATTATATCATTAAAAGGGGGCGGTCTCTTATCCGAGTATCTTCTACGTGGCGGATCGCAAACCACGCGCACTAGCATGGGGAGAGGACGTTTCGGCCTCTCACTTTAGCTCGCCTTCAAACGGATTTCTTTTGGCTACTCAGAGGATACTTGGTTTAAGATCGGAAGTCGTGAGGTGTTTGAGCCATTTGTAAAAGAATCGTTTCTAGCCACTCTCAAGTGAATGGCGCTCACAGAACTTTCTCACTTGCATGAACTTCTATACATGACTCCATCCTCCCTTGAAATTATATAGAGTTGTTTAATTTCTATTCCTGCTCAGCTGGAAGTCTAAATGTAATTGTGTGTGTTAATTTTAATACCACAATTGTGGGGCAAACAGTAATAAAGCGAAAAAGTGAGATGCTTCTACCACATTATCTTCCAAGCAGTTACTGCTTTATCGCACAGACACTAATGGAACAACAACCAGCTATAATTCAGAAAAGAAGGCAGTTCTTTCTGGAAAAACTCGTTGGTTCTTTTATAATATATGTTGAACCAGAATGATCTTACGCCCGCGCAAGTACCGATAGATGTTCAGGAGAAAAGTGAAACAATGTAAGGAATCAATACACATTGAATCCAGAACCTTATAGTATGATGTGTTCTTTTCGCAAGCTTCATCGAGAAGTCTTTCAATTTCTACCGCGTCGACTATACATGTAGTTCTCAAAGCCCACAACAGCTGGAGAAGCTTCTATAACCGATGGTATTAAGTGATTGAAGTGAGTTATTCTTCATTAACTTAATATGTAAGTAAGATCAGCTTTGAAAATTAAACAAGTAATCAGAAGTTATGGGTCTAAGATTCACTGTTCCTCGAAATACCCAGTGAATTAATGTATTAATTTTCTCTAGGAACTAATAACATTAAAATGTACAGAAGTGTTTAGTTTACCCATTGTCTACGAATAATTTAGTTTAAATGAGTACAGTTTTGTTCTAGAACTTGTGGCCATTTTGAAGGAAAATTTATAATACCACTCTCATAGAACTCTTTGTCCTTATTGGAAAAAATCTCAGACAGTTGATTTTATAAAAATTATTTTCCTACAGATGTTCCAATAGTTGACATTACATGTACCGAACTAAGAGTTTGAGCATAGTTTTTAGAAGATAATTCACAGCAAATCCCACCATATTCATAATAATATTTTCATGACAGTCAATTCTGCCACTGTTTGCGCCGCTTCACTGCCTTTCGGTCAAGACCGGTTTTGCTTGACATTTTGGTAACTAACCCACTTTTCTTCAGCAGTAACCAAACACTTCAGAAATGGATCGAAATTTTTGCAATTCAGAAAAGACTGAAGACTTGCGAAACAGTTATACTTACATACTAAACCCTTAACTCCGTCTTCTGTAGCTTTGGAAAGCACTGCGGGACCGGCGCTAAGCATTATATCGCAGGGCCAGCTTAGCCTATTGGCTCACGTCATTAGTCCGCTATACGCGCCTTTAGCTTCACTGCTTCTTTGTTTTCGGCTCTTTTCAGCTCTTGCAGTATCAGAGCTGCCATACTCTCCATACTCTCCATGGTATACCATTTCTTCTTTACGCTCTACCATTGTCAGCTTCCTATCTATAATTTTACTTTTATCATAGATCCGCTTCAGTTCTCGAGCCATTATGTCTAATGGCTTCTTACTCTGTAAGATAATAATTGTATTGTTATTTTTCATTTAATAAATAAATAAATATGTCTAACGGCATTATCACAGATATAATGCTACCCGCTTCACGAGACACGATATTTTCGACAATGACTTTCCAAACCATAACGCATTTTTGACTTATTATATTTTATATATCGCGAGATAGAGATTACAAAGGAGAAATATTAGTAAAATAGTGGAATGGTTTGAAGAGAACTATAGTTTAAAATTTTACTGAATTAAAGATGACTCCAGTGTTTGTGATTTAAGAACATCAAAGCCTTGAAGTAGAGACACTAATCTTTTGGACCCATCAAATTAATTCAGATATGCTTTTTAGTAAAACAAGGGTTAATTTGCAATTTATATTAGAACTACTCGATCTGCTCCACAGTTGCGAGTGGGTGCGAGTGGAACAGCAACTACAAGTATTGCCACAATTGTAGATAGATATGTCTAACGCACAAATCTACATATATCCAATGTCGTATCGCTTGCAATCCAAGCTCTGCAACAAAACTATTGTCATACGCTCAGTGTCACTGTCACTGTCATTGTCACAATCAGGGCTTTGCACTGTGGCAGTCAATTGCAACACGCAGCTGGTGCTAGTATGCGCGAGTTTAACAACCATAATACCATAAAACTACAACGTACACCCAATTGGCTATTGTTAAAGCGCGCCTCTAAGCTAAGCTTTGGTGTGGATTACATTAAGCTGAATTTAGAGCGTTTTTGCAATTTGAGAAGTGCTGTAGAAGAAATGCGGATTGAATTGTGCGCGTACTACTTGGCAATATGAGCTCGAGTGTATTTGAAATTCAGAAAAATAAAGCTCCAGGGGCCACTTAAGTCACCAGCATCAACAGCAATTCAAAAGTCAAGCACATATAGACGCATATAGCAACAAATATAAATGCCAGCGAGGCGACTTCCCACGCTTTGCTGAAATTATACGCAAAATATATACTTAAATGAGTAGGTATATGCTTGCAGGAGGTTATATTGTGTTGTTGCTGCCTGGTTGGGCGTGTGCGCAACTGCGTTATAATTCCGCGCTGCGGCACGCTTTATATGTACAGACAATTGGCTATATGTATGTAGCAGCTTCATGATTTAGTGTTTATTTGTGTTACTCACGTTTTTGGCCAATTTTATTTGTTTTTATACCCTCAACAGGGTATATTTAGCCATATTCAAAAATTATCAGTTTGGCGAACCGACTCGATTTATCCATGTCTCTCTGTCCGGCTGTTTATAAGACCCACCAAGATCGTATGATATCACACTGATAGGCTTTTTTCCTGTGGAAATATGTAAAGTCTAAAGTCTATGCGAACAATCCCTTGAAAAACATCACGCAGGTCCAGGTACCAGTCGAAATGTTCGAACGAGCCATCGAAAAATTGAACTCAATGGATGGAGTACCTGAGACGTGGCCGCGGCCAACATTTGGAATAGATAACCTTTAAAAAATAAATGCCAAAGGATGTTATTTGGAATGATAATAAATATTATTCATTAAATTTGAAGTTTCTGTGTTTTTGCTTTAAGTAGGAAACCTCGAAATGGATCACTCTTTAGCTGCCATAAAAACTGGCCAACCAAAATTGAGTTCTTATATGGAAAACCTTTTTATTTAGCAAGTTATCTTCACAAAATTTGGTATAGGTTCTTGCCCATAGCAAGGCTGTAATCTACGAACAAATTGTTGAGTTCGGATCACGATAATACAGGGTTTCTCCGAAAAGTAATAGAACTGATTTCCTTTCACAGTGATTGTACTTCGGAGGGTCCGCATCCCGACTGGATCGGGTAGAGGGCGATTAAATTCTGTCCGAAACTGTGTGAAGTGTGCCAAGAAATTGTGAACTTGTGTGATAGGGACCCCCATTTTTTTAATAACATAATCACAATTGACGAGTCATAGATCTTTGAGTATTATCCTGAGGCAATCTTTCAAGTGGCACACGCCGGCGTCTTCTCGCCCAAAAAAGTTAACAATGAGCAAATCCAAAGTGAAAACGATGCTCATTGTCTTTTTTGACATCAAAGGCATCATCCACCATGAATTTGTTCCTTGGGACAAACCGTCAACGCCAAGTTTTACGTCTAAGTCCTCAAGAGACTCAAACAAAGGGTTAATCGTTTCTGACAAGACATCGCAGCTAATGGGAACGCCCCGGCTTACACAGCCGTTCTTGTGAACAGCTACCTAACCAAGGCCGGCATACTAACGTTTCCGCATCCTACAGCCCAGATGTGGTCCTCGGATTTTTTGTTGTTTCCTTGCCTGAAAAGGGCAATGAAAGGCAAGCATTTTGAGACGACAGAGAGGATCCAATGCACCTCGGCTCTCAAGGTTATTCCGGAGAATGAGTTCCGTGACGCCTTCAATGCTAGGAAATCGCGCTCGCAGCGCCGCATCGATGCAGAAAGAGCTTATTTTGAAAGTTTTTACAGAATTGGTTCAATACATTTATTTTAATTCGGCTCAGTCCTTTTAGTATCCCCACAAACCCTGTATATAGCTGACATACAAACCCATCGATCAAAATCAAAATAAATATCTTTTTATAGTATACCTTTTATACTATAAGATACACACCTGTGAAGGGTATTACAGCTTCGGTGTAGACGAAGTTAATGTTTTTACTTGTTTTTACTACCTCTTTGTTTAATTTTATTTCATTATTTTGTGTCTTATTGTACTTTTTTGCACATTTACGGCATAAACGCATCTTCTTATTGTTGTTTATTCATTAATGTTTTTTTAATCTTTTATCCTCACCTTTGTTGTTGCTCATTTATAAGTACATACACATATATAAGACATACAAACATCATTTTTTGTTTTTTTTTTTTTGTTAATTTATGTTGTTTATATATTTTTTGCGCATACAGACGCCCTCGCAAAATCATTGAGCGACCTAATGGAATTGGTGAAACTTTTACGCGAAGATATCGCCAACCAACGTCAAGAGATCGCCTACCTACGCCGCTTGCTCGAGAACTGCGCCGGCTGCAAGGAGCCGAGCAGCAGCAGCCTGCGTTTGGAACCAACATGTCGCAACGCCAATCCCTGCTATCCAGGTGAGTTTATATTTGCAGTGCAGTAAATATACACCATTTCTATAGCCATACATTTGAAGTTCGTGTAGAATGGCGAAAATTTACGATTTTGTCACCACTTGCAGGTGTTGAGTGCCGCGAAACGGCTAGTGGTCTGAGGTGTGGCCGCTGTCCGATGGGTCACGTGGGCGATGGCAAGATTTGCAAGCCGGGCGTCACTTGCGCTGATCGTCCTTGTTTCATGTAAGTAAAATTTTTTATTTGAATACGAGTTTATAAGCTGTTTAAGAAGTCTTAGGGAAGGCTTGAAGTTACTCATTACTGTGTGTTCGATTTGCTATAAAAAAAAAAAATATCTAACAATTCTTACAGCAAAAATATTTCCTATACGTTTTTAATTAAACAATTTTTTTCTATTAGCGAATGTTTTTAAACTTATCACTTTATCTTGCGAAAGTATAAAATGTTCGGTGACACCGGAACTTAGCCCTTCCTTACTTGTTATTTCATAAAGTACCGTCTACTTAGGCTTTATATTCTTTCCTTTATTGGCATCCAAGACATTTGCACGGATGTCTGATAACACACGCCAACACTCAATTTGCTTCAATTCTGTAATCAGTTTGTATCAGTCAACTCTCGAAGATTCTACTGCGTTACTATAAATATGTATAGTCTGGCGTTGTCCTGATGGCACACAATTCCTCTCCTGTTGGCCACAGCTGGCCGCTTTTGGGAAATTTCTGTCTTCACGAGATTATTCGCTGTCCGTTCCACTAAACACATGAAAAAACCTTCCTGACTGTAAATTTTGGACTGACTACCATTTGCATCCACTCGCCGCTATCCGGCCTCCACCTTCACATGACTTTGTTATATTGTCCCAGATTTCATCAGCACTTCTAGAATGATATTTAGTCCGTGAGGGTTGTTTGAGTTAACTCATCGAGCTTCGTTTTGTTTTGCCAGCCTTACTTACTCACTGTCTGGTGGCGACATACGCAAGCAGGAAGGGGCTGACAGATCGATAAGACTGCAGAAAATGTCTAAATCAAGGCACCATGGAAACTTGTGCACGTCCCGCATTGGGACTACCCTGGAAGCATCTGGAATCCCCACGATATGATACACTGAAGGAGGTATCGATAGTGAAACCGCAGAGTATGTTAAAATTCGTGACAAGCGCGGGCATCGATGACTACTCCTCTCTGGTATCGCAAAGGACCAAACTGGTCTATGCATGTCCTATGCTTGGCCTATTGGCCAACCAGATTAACCTAACCTAAGCTAACCTATTTAAATTATTTCAAACGGATCTTTGTGCTGAGTTGAGCTCCTGGTAAGCGAAACAGTGCTTACATGGTGATCTTACTCGACGATTTCTACTACAGAGAGTGATGCATCTTTTACAGATGTTGCAAGATTATAGGTACAGAAACAAAGAAACTAAAGTTACACATGATGATAGCATCCAGGACATAAACACTATTCCACTGTTCATATTTTTAGTCGCTTTACGTGTCGTCTTTACCGAAGAAGTACTGTTATATATTTGTATTATTTTCTCTCTGCTGGTCTTCACATTTCACGGAAGTTTTAACAATACTGAGTACAAGCACTAACAAAATTATCTAAGAAGTTTTCTTAGTGCAAATTCTTATCTTTCTAACACCACATAGCGCAACCCTATCGAAATTATATAACGCCAAATATAGATTACTTAAGCCATCATCGGAAAAACAATGGATTTCTTTTTACCAAGCTTTTTCTGTGTGTCTCTTGGCTATATACCACTCTACACTTGGATCTTTAAAGCATCGCATGCCAGGCGCAAATGGCCGACGGAACTCACACCGCTTCACATAGTAACCGTTCAATAAGCCAAAAACACACTGCCTCAAATGACAGCAGAAGGGTTTGGCAGAGGTACGGTAATCTCATTGCAACCTATGAAGGACTTAAGTAGCGAAATACCATTGGTTCTTCTCACAAGGGACAGCATTACCAAAAGAGTAAACTTCATTAAGAAGTTCAAGGTTACCCTTAGCAGCAAAGCTGAATATAATGATTCTGCTCATGAGCTACTGCTTATGGATAGTTTAAATAAGTGTTACATCTACGGCTAGAAAACGTCGTAGTGAATTGGTTCAGGAATCGGAGGACCACGCACCAAACTCTTTATACCTACAGGAGGTTTTGAGAGCTTATTCCAAGCAGATGTCTTTGCTATAAGTCGGTGCAGAGAGATAAACCTCCAACGCAACGAACATATAATCATAATCAGCGACAGTAAACGGCATTTATAGCGATCTCTGTGTACGAGATCAAAACGCTACGCTATACTAGAGTGTACGGAACGCCTGTAAAGTCTATCAGATCGTAACCTAATCACATAAGGTGCACTTTTATATGTTCCGCAGCATTAACTAACCATGTTTCCGAATAGGGATCACATCGCCTCATTAGTACCTAGTAGTATATTGGAACTTATCAACCTCATTTATCTAACTATCCATTTATCTAAGGGTCTCTTGAATTAATTTGACGCTGCTTGATCCTTAGACCGGTGAATTATTATTTTTAACCATTGAAGCCAAAAAAAAGTAAACGTGTATTAATGGCGAGAACAAAAAAAGTAGTACTAAGTAGAAATTTTGAAAATGCGTTCTTCATTCATAATATTCTACAATAACATACACAAAAATCTAACGTTCTAAATATTTGACAATTTCTAATTATTTCTGCTCTACAAAATAACCTTTTCCACATACTTGTATGTACGTGAATAAAATAATTTGAATTATGAGTGCAACCCACGAACAGCACTGTCTATAAATTCAATAAAAACCAACACTTCGTGGGCATTTTATTAAATATCTTGCATTTATTTGCAATAACTTTAAAGTGAGTGTGCGGTCTGCACCGCACAACATACACGCCGATCTGCCATAACTTAAGGCAACTAAACTAAAAGAGCAACAACAAAGCGCATAAATGAATAAGGTGACATTAAGTGCATACTATTGTGTCAAATTTGAAAGAAAACAAAACGCATTGAAATCCAAAACCAAAATTATGGGCGCATGCGCTACAAACAGGGAGTATGTACACATGTATGTGTGCCTATAAAAAACGCATAAAAACGGAATGTGGTACATGTGTAGCACCTACAAGAAGGGCAACCTGTTGCAATGAGCGAACGCTGTGCGGCTACAGTGCTGAAGAGACGTTGACTTTTTTCCGATTCTGTTTAGATTTTTTCCAATTAAAAGAAAATTTTTTTTTTGATTCTTTTCCAATCTTTTTTTTTTAGATTTTTTTCCGATTTTTTTTTCCAATTTTTTTTCCAATTTTTTTTTTCCAATTTTTTTCCTTTTTTTTTATTATTTAAAGTTTTTTTTACACTCATCTGTTTTTTTTTTTTTTTTTTTTTTTTTTTTTTTTTTTTTTGTTTTTTTTTTTTTTTTTTTAATTTGGAGCTGTTTAGTGGCAGTTTAGGTCGCTTTAGTGTTCCTCACTTCAACCTTTGTTGTTATTGTTATGGTTGACGGTAATGTCACATAAATTTCGTGTAAATTACAATTGCAAAGAAGAAAGATTCTTGCGACAAAATAATAACGCGGGTGAGGTAACCGATATGCCAAACACAGACAGATACTCGTATTAGTACTAGAAAATACCTACTTGTACTTATCTAAATGTGTATGGGTGTCATCTAAATGAAATGAAATTGAATGGGCAACTTTAGATGACAACGATTTTGGTGGCTGCGCCCTGTTTGAACTTTATTACAGTCGCTGCCTGCAGCAGCTCGTGCATCTGTAGCATGCAGCAAGTCGTTGTAAAGGTATTCATACGCTAATTTGCATAATATACAAATTATTACCCACACACACACACATAGAAGACTACATATCGCTATGCGCATTGAACTGTTGTGGCAACATTGTCGTTAATGTCAACTTTTATTATCAATGAAATGTGACTCGGCCACTCGGAAGGGAGTCGCGTGAGCGCGTGTGGCGCAAGCGCAACAGCAACGCATAGCAACAATACCATGGCATACAAAAACAAAAGTCAAATAAATTATATAGATGACAGCGCATTTCATTTAATGCTCATAGGAAATAATTTTAAATGCATGTAAACCCTTTTTTGTTGTACAACAGCCAAAAAACAAAATATATATATATATACAATGTGGAACATGCTACATTCTTCGGCTCTCTGCTACGTTGTTGTGCCATATTAAAGGCGCCTTATCAACACTAAGTAGCTGCCTTTTGAACACATAAAAGGGTATTCTTACCGCAGCGCGCTTCACTATACCATATGTATGTATATATGTGCGTCCCGTCGTATGGCACTGTTGCGCGTCCTCGCTTTTCTCTTTTATTTTGTATTTGCTTGCCATTTATCTGCCCGATTGGCAATAAAAAATACATAAAACGGCACTATAACGATCACCTGTTGAGTCGTTGCTGCCACATTGCCTCATTGAAGCGTCCCTTTCATGTTCCTATTTTGAGTTGAGTCGTTGATAAGTCTGTAGTTAAGTATGTGGTATAAGGAGTGCCAGATAAGTGGGTAACCGGAAATTATTGATAGCTTTTTAAAAAATTAACTATTTAACAGCTAAATTGTTATTGTGCTATGATTGACTTTAAAGCAAGGCGTGAGAATGCAATCAGAGACCTCTTTTTTGAGCAAACAAATGCTTTGATTAAATTTCATATGTGAAAATTGGGCGGTTGGAGTAGGTCAGTGCTTCAGTAGTGATTTTATAAAGGGTATTCAGACCAGCTTTGTCGTTAGTCGTTATTCGGTAGTTTTTTATATATGTACGTTCATTTTGTTTTTCTAAAATTAACAGATAACCGAATTACCGAATAACGAAGTACCAGATTAGCAAGCTTTATAATTTTTCGGTAACTTGATAACATCAAGCTGTTGTTGTAAAAAGTTCATCTGATTCAATGCGAAAAAAGCATTTGCTGCTCACTAAAGTTTTGAAAAATACGGTCGGACGATTGGAATTTAAGTACGCTGGGGCCAATCCCTAAAAAAGGAGGCCCTACAATCTGCGCCAATTACCGTGGAATAAGCCTCCTAAACATCGTATCCAAAAGCTCCGTCAGGATTGGGAAGGACCTCTCCGAGCCGTTCGATATCAAACCAGGTTTCAGATAAGGCGACTCTCTTTCGTGCAACTTCTTCAATTTATTCTTAGAAAAAATAATTCG